AGGACCGTTCCCCAGGGAGGCTTCGAGAGACAGCAGTGTAAAGCCCTGGGCCAGGGCTAGGTCAGGACACACTGGCTTTGATTTGATCAAGCTTTCTTTGGCTTTGTAGCCAGTTTCCTTTGGATAGACATATCTGTACTGGAATTATGTGGCAGAGAAGGAAGTCCAGGGAACGTCTGCTTTCCCCACTCACTGACCTGGCTCCGCCCACCGTCCAACAGTTCTCGATGCCGACTCACAGTTGCCTTGTAGGACAGGCAGGGTACAACTCTTGGTTTTTTTTTAACTCTTTTCCATGTCTCTGCACCCTTCGTCTTGGGCATCAGACAGGCCTGGGCGGCTCTTCCCATCGAGCACAGGCTGAGAGGTGGGGTCTCCCTGCATGGACGCAAGTCATAGCACTGCAGGAGCTCCTGGCCTCTCCTGGCGCCGCAGGAAGGCCTCAGAGGCTCTGTCTGTGCCAGTGGCCTGCTTACCTCGGGACGTGTGGTCTCTGGGCCTCACCAACGGCCTCCATGTCTGCCGAGCCACAGGGAACCTTCCTGTGTCTGCGACAGCATCTCACCGGAGCGACTCTGCCCCGTCCCCTCTCGCAGGTCATGCGGAAGTCTCACGAGGCACGTGAGAAACTGCTGCGCCTGGGGATTTTCAGACAGGTGGACGTGCTGATCGACACGTGTCAAGGTGTGCACGGTCCGTAGGCCCCGTGAATCCTTGCAACGGGACAGCTCTCTGGGAGTGGCTGGGAGCTTCTGTTGGGCCGTGGGGGCCATGGAGGTGCTGCCTGCCACGTCGTTGGCCCACAGCAGACCTCTAAGAGCAGGGTCCCCAAGGAGAGGGCCAGGCTGCATGCACATGGGGGCATAAGCCCACTGGTGTGTGAGTCTAGAGCGCTGACGCCCTGCAGCACAGCGGCGTCTGTGTGGCCACCGGAGCAGCTCAGGGAAGGGGCTGTCACCCAAATCTTGTCTCAGCTCCTGTGCTCTGTCCATGCAGGTGACGATGCCCTGCCCAATGGCTTAGACGTGACGTTTGAAGTGACCGAGTTGAGGAGACTGACGGGCAGCTACAACACCATGGTTGGGAACAACGAAGGCAGCATGGTACGGTGCTGGGCCCTTCCACGGGCCTGTGGCCTCCAGGCCCTTCTGCGGGCCGGCCGCGGGCCCTGGGCTGGCACTCAGAACTGTTCGCTCAGAACTGAGTACTACGTATGAGGGCGCAGTGGGTATCCCGGAGGACAGCCACGCTCTACCCGGGGGTCGGCAGCCGCAGGCTGGGGTTACCTGGAGGCAGTGTCGACAGGAAGCAGGAATGCGGGCCCTTAGGAGACGGGGCCAGCCGGCCGGCTGTCATCTCTTGGCTGGTTTCTTGCCACTCGCAGCCCCGACCTGAACCCTGCCTGGGCGACACCACTGGCGAGTTGAACTGGGCCCCCGCCTTGGTCAGTGTGCTGGCTGGCAGGGCAGGCAGAGGGGCTTCTCAGAGGGAAAGCGCTGCCATCCACATTTGTATTCTGAGCTGCCCTCAGCCCTCGGCGGGGCTGTGGGTGCGCGTGGGAACTTGGAGTGACCTTACGGCTGGCAGAGGGAGGCACAGTCCAGCCAGCTCCTGTGCCTGCTCCCTCTGGCCCTTCCCGCCGCCCACTGCCACCTCCCTGCGCCTCCCAGGTCCTCGGCCTCAAGCTCCCCAATCTCCTCGGCCGTGCCGAAAAGGTGACTTTTCAGTTTTCCTACGGAACCAAAGAAACGTCCTACGGCCTGTCCTTCTTCAAGCCACAGCCCGGAAACTTCAACCGAAAGTAGGAAGCCCCCCAGTGCGTTGAGCTCAGGGGCCTGGGCCGGCTCCTCAGGGAGGGGCCGCTGTGTGGGTGTGGGTTCAGCCTGTCTGCCTCACTGAGTCCGGTTGACCGCCCCTGGGCCAGCCTTTCCAACTCACCCCGTTGCCTCCTAGCTTCTCCGTGAACCTGTACAAGGTGACCGGGCAGTTCCCGTGGAGCTCGCTCCGAGAGACCGACCGGGGCCTGTCAGCCGAGTACAGTGTGAGTGCTGCTTGGCTCCTTCCCCCTCGGGGTGCTGTGGGTGGGGGTGGGCGACACCCAGGGCCTGGCTCAGAAGGCCACTGGGCGATGGCCATCTCCACTTGGCCTGGAGGGGACCAAGTGTCAGTGCCTTGAGCTGACATGGGCATGTCAAAGCAGTGTAGGCGTCTTGACCTTTGTGGAGGTTGAAAGCAGGGGTGGACACCTGATGGTCACAGAGCTGCACGGAGTGCTCAGCTAGGTGGCCGTCGGCCCCTGCTGCGGGCCTGTCTCAGCGGGCAACACTTCCTTGGCTGAACAGCCCAGCCTGCCTCTCCTGCCTTCCCGCCTTCCCTTAAACAAGCTGCACCTTAGATGGCTGCTTCGGGGGCACCTGGTTCCCTAAGTGGTGTGCGGCCCCCGCCCCTCCTTGTGCTTGCAGTTCCCCATCTGGAAGACGAGCCACACCGTGAAGTGGGAAGGAGTGTGGCGGGAGCTGGGCTGCCTCTCGAGAACGGCCTCCTTCGCCGTCAGGAAGGAAAGCGGGCACTCGCTCAAATCTTCGCTCTCGGTGAGTCCCTGCTGCTGCAGTCGCACAGAGGAGCTCCGAGTTCTGGTGCAGCCGTGCCTGGGGTCGGTTGGGGGGGTGGGGGGGATGTCCGCCCTGGGCCCTCTGCACAGCCACCGCTCGCTGCGTGTTCTAGTTCTGTTGTCAACTGGGGGCGTGCCCTGGCCGATACTGGCCTTACTGACCAGGGCCCAGGCAGTGCTCGGTGGACAGGCTCCAAGTGGGTGGTGACAGTGCTGTTGAAAGCAGCGGCCGGCAGGGTCCTGTGCGTTTGTGACCTGTCTTGCGTGGGTGGGTTTTCCCTGAATGTCATCTGTGGAATGAGAAGAGATGAATTTGAGAGCTAACGGTAGAATAAAGCTTCTCCCCAATTTGGGGAAGGACACCGAGTTAGGGTGCCAGGTCCCTGAGGGCGTGGCCCTGTGGAGGGATCTGCTCTCACCTAATTAGTGTTAATTCCTCCATTGTCCCAGGCTCCCAGGCCCCACTCTGGGGACCTCCATTCCCTCTGGTGTAAAGTCAGGCCAGGGGTTTTATCGGTCTTGCCGGCCGGCTTGGGGTGAACTACTCGCTCAGGGAATGGCAGGGCCCTGAAACCAGTGTCTTGCAGCACGCGATGGTCATCGACTCCCGGAACTCTTCCATCCTGCCACGGAAAGGGGCCCTGCTGAAAATTAACCAGGTAACATTCAGCCCCGCCCTGCCACCTGTGCGGGGCAGGCGGCTGCCAGACTTTTGACCGAAGAAGGGTCTGCAGGCGTGGGTGCCCTGGAGGCAGGGTTTTCCTGGGACACCCATTCTTGCCATTGTGAAGGGCTCCCACCCCCCTGCAGCTCCATCTTCCCATCCACAGAAGTGAGTGGGGCTGAGGCTGGGGCCTGCCTGGTAGGGCCACTTAGCAGGCCAGGGGAGCTCTGGCTGGGCGTGCGTGGCACCGGAGCTCAGCAGTGGGCAGAGTCCCTGTTCTCTGCTATAACAGCAGCCCAGCAGGGCATTAGCGGAAACCATCTTGGTGTGAGTGAGCAGGGGGTGCTGAGCCTCATGGCCTCACTCCAGCAGCTGCCTACCATCCAGCCACTGTCACTGTAGGGTGGCCCCCAGGTGGCATCCGCCCCCATCACAGTGCTTTACATGGACTGTCCCCCAGACGGCGCTGGGGCCAGTGTGGGTTCTGTCCTGGCCCGTTCCCGTATCCACTCTTGTCTCATCTCTGGCGATCACTGGCTGTAGTGGGTCAGGATCTTTGGGAGAGCTTTGACCTCTCTCCGTGTCAGCCCTCTGGTACTTTTCAGAGCAATTAGAACGTAGCTCCCAGCAGACAGGACTAGTCTGTCTCCTTTGTCAGGGTTCAGCCCCCAGTTAGATGGCTGGTGGCTGCAGCCGCTGTGCCCGCTCTCACCACGGACTCGGACTCACTCCTGCAGGAACTGGCGGGCTACACCGGGGGCGACGTGAGCTTCCTAAAGGAGGACTTTGAACTTCAGCTGAACAAGCAGCTGGCGCTGGATTCAGTGAGTGTGTGGGGATCCCAACAGACTGGCCTGCGTCTTCACCCCTCTGTGCCGGACAGTCTTCCTGCTGAATCTCTAAGCAGCAAGGCAGAGGCCCGAGGCTCTGCCCTCAGCCCTTTCAGAGGGAACATGCAGGGGGAGGGCTGGCAGTGACTCCCTGTGCAGACGACTTTCAATCGTCATCTCCCGTGGAACCAAGACCGAGCGTCACCACGCTCCTTCTGGTCCCTCCGTGTCCCCTCCCCTCCTCGGAGTCTCCACCTCGCTGTCTGAGCGACAGGGTCTCCAGAGGAGGGCTCCCAGGATGGGTGGAGCGTGGTATCTCGATTGACTCTGGAAATGAGGGAGCGGCAGGGTTCCAGCCTAGTCAGTGGAGCCCAGACTGAGGGACCCCTGGCTTATTCTCCAAGTCTTTCCAGCACGTGGGTGGGTGGACAGCCAGCCCTCTGTCTCATGGCTGCCATCTGTCCTCCTTGGCGTTCAACTTGAGGGTGGGAAGGTGGTCCAGGCATTTCTGGGGCCTTGTTATGAAAACCTTAGCTGCTTCCCCTGCTCAGCCGTTGGCTCCCTGCTGGTTGGCTCGGATCTCTGCCTTCCTCCACCCTGGCTCGGTGAAAGACCCCAACCCCCTTCCACACTCCCTGTGTGAGCCAGCCACCCACCTTCACCCATTCATCAGTCAGACACCAACCCAGCCATCCGTCCGTCCGTCTGTCCATCCCCCTACCCATCATCCATCTGTCCACCCACCCACACATCCATCGGGAGCCCTGGTGGCATAGGGGTTGAGTTGGGCTGCTAACCCTCAGGTGTGCAGTTCAGAGCCGCCTGCATCCACCCCCCCATCACTCATTCCTCTAAGACCTGTTTATCTGTCCGCCCACCCACCACTCCTCAGTCATGGCACCCACCCACCCATCCACCCGTCCATTCACTTAACCCGCTTCCCTTCCATCCATGCAGTCCTCTACCTGCCTATGGACCCCCCCCCAATCACTCACTGGTCTCTCCTCTCCCCCTCATTTCCTCATGCATCGTCCATCCACGTCCGTCAGTCATTCATCTGTCTCTATGAATTCATCTGTGCACCCTCTCCTTGCCCCTCACTGCTTCAGTCACCCATTTCTAGCATCCACCCACCCACCCGTCATCCAGCTGTCCATCGGTAGAATTGGTTACTGAATATTACCGGGGGTAGTAGAGCAGCCAATGGCCATCTGAGGGGCCCTGATGATGCTGTGGGCTGGGCATTGGGCACTTCAACCCCACTGTCTGCTCTGGGGTCCGTGTGATTGGAAGTGGGTAAAGAGCCACACGGAAACCCCCGGGGCGCAGGACTAGAGCACCTAGGCAGCCTGCGCACAGACTTGAGAGCCAGCCCTGGGCTGGCGGGGAGGGGCCTTGCAGAGGGTGCCTGGAGTCAGGGAGCGGGGCGCAGAGGCAGAGGCCTGGTTGGGAGCAGTGGAGGGCTGGACCAAGAGCCGAGTGGGGAGGGCGGTTGATGCAAAGACTGGGCACCCGAGTGCAGGTGGGCCCCTCTCCAGGGGCTGGCCTCTCGGGCCTTGCTTCTCAGTGACTCAGGACCCGCCGTGGCTTGAAGCAGGCTGGGTGCTATGGGTTCACCATGGGCTGGGGCCCTCAGACGCTCCCTTCCAGGCCCGGGACTTGCTTCGTGTGTCTCTGAGAATGGGAGTGGTGCCGTTTGAAAGTAGTCACAAGGCCCTCGGCTGACCCATGGCCTGCAGGAAGGGCCCTGTGCTCTTCTGCAGAGAGGACGGCCCAGCCTAGGGCCTGCACGACAGGGACACCGGCCGGACAGGACAGCTGATGGTTTCTATTCCTACAGGTCATCTCGGCCTCGCTCTGGGGTGGGATGTTGGTGCCCATGGGCGAGAAGCCGTCCAGTATAGCCGACCGGTGAGTAAGAAGACGGGAATGGGCCTGTGCAGGTGTGGAAACGGCGGTGGTGGCGGTGATGGTGGTGTTAGGAATCTCAAGGAGTGGCTGCTGGGTTCAGGCTACCGACCATTGGGGGAGTGCGAGCCCCTAATCATTGCACTGGCTACTTGCGTCTGGCAGGGTTCTCCAGAGAAGCAAAACCAGGACATATATACACACATCATAGAACAGGTTTATACAGCGAGAAGGAATGTGACACTAATTAGTCGGCACAGATGTACTGAGGGCTCAGTTCAACTCTCTTTTTTTGGAAAAATTAATATACTCAGGGTCCTTCAACTCATGAGGGCTGCCGGTCCAAGGTCAAGAAAGTAGACCAGGGAGTCTTCCCTCAGGCGAGGCACAGGAGCTGAGGGAAGCAGGCCCCTGGGATCTGGAACTCAAGTGGTGCCCAACAACAAGACCCACCAGCCTCAGGCTCAAGCAGGGCGCACGCCAGCAGCGCGGTGCAGCAGGTCTCGAAGGAGCCTCAAGCTCTAGCAACAGGAGCCACTGGCGGCTCGGCCCACAGGTAGTGCAGCACACCGGTCCCATCCCCAGGGAGGAAGAGAGACAGGATGCCGCCCTGAAGGTACTTATCATTTATCTCAGTTGCCCTCCAATCCAACTTTGGACTTGATTAACCCCGCCCACACGTGCCTGTGGAGGCACAGTAAACCTGATGGTCACACGGTCGCAGTTCGTGCCGCTGAGTCAGTACCAGTCACGGCTTCTGTGTGCACAGCAGGGCGAAACACTGCGCAGGCCTGCGCCGGCACCGCTGCCAGTTGCCCGCACCAGAGCCTTCCTCTTTTCTTCCCGGCACACTCGCTCTCGCTATTGACACAGACCTTGTGTCCCTCACATCTGAGCTGACCCCGACTTTTGGCTGTTTGGGAGGTTTTCATAAGTCCCCTTGGGAGGAGTGACTTTGGAAACAATCATTTTCTTTGATGAGACTGCTGAGCACCCACCTTTGTCCACTATCTCCTCTGAGGTCAGGGGCCGCCAGCAGGTGACCTTAGGGGAGGCGGGCACGACTGCTCAGTCAGTTTGAATTGATGCTCTTCCCCTGGGCCAGGTCGGGTTCGCCAGAGAGCAAAACCACGAACACTCGTGTGTGTTTCTGTGCAGAAAGGGGTTTCTCTCAAGAAACAGCTCACAGGTGCAGACGGGGAAGCCCAGTCAGGCTTCTCCTGACTCGTGGAAGCTGATGGACAGGAAGCAGAGGCAGTGGGGGCACCGGCTGGCGGCTGCAGAAGGGAATGAATCCACTGTCCATAGTCTGCTGACAGCTCCTGGGAACAGCAGGCAGTGCAACAGGAGACGGAGGAACCAGAGTCAAGATCCAGCTCTGGCAGAAGGCGGAGGACCAGAGGACCTGACTCGGCTCAGTCTCTGTGTCTCAGACACCAAGGAGGTGCCATCAGGAGTCAACCCAACTGAGAGTTTGTGCTCATCTCCTGCCCTTACCCAGGCGTGCCCAGTTGGCATAATCCCCAACCATCCCATCCTCGTTCAGCCGGAGGAGCCGGGGAGAGCATGATGCTGTAGCCCAAGAAGGAGCAGAAGAGGAACTGAAATTTGAGAATAATGTTATATTGTTTTTTCTAATTTAAACTCGATTGTCGAACATAGGAAACAAAACAGAACCCACGTTTGAAATATCCACAGTACTGATGTGCGCTGCTTCCTGCCTGGTCCCGCCTCCCCTTTTTATCTTGTTAGGATCTGTCTCCTCAGTCTGGCTCTGGCTTTGGCTGCATCAGAGCGCTGGGGGCCATCTGGAGAATTCACACGGTGCCCACGCCTGCCTGCTCCTTCCCTGAGCTGCTTTCTTTGCCGTATTTCCCACCTGCCAGCCCACCTGAGCAAAGATGCCCGTGAACCCCCCTGCCCCTGTGAACGCAGCTCTCAGAGCTGCTGACTCGGAGCCCTAGCTCCCCACCCGCCATGACTCACCTGACACTTTGTTCCTGTCTAGGTTTTACCTGGGCGGCCCGACCAGCGTCCGAGGCTTCAGTATGCACAGCATCGGGCCTCAGAGTGAAGGTCTGTCAGCCCCTAAGCCTCAGCCCTCCCACCTCACTCTCCCGTAGTTGGGAGTGTGCCTGCTGCTCCTGGGATGAACTCCCGGTTCCTCACTGGGCAGTTAGCACACCGCAGCCAGGGAACTGCAGACAATTCAGAAAGGACGCCAGCAGCCAGAGGTCGCCGTCCCGGCCCAGCCCTCTGCTCTCTGCTCCTCCTGGCCTCTCGGCCACTGGCTTCCCAGACTCGTGGTTGCTTGTTTTGCTCACCTGCAGTTTTGTTTTTTTCCAGTTTTCCCTGTAAAAATGAATCGAGTGTGTGTTTATGAGTATGTCTGTCAACTCGCTGACGTGTGTGAGAGACTTAAAACCACGTCATAAGCCCTGGCGGCATGGCAGTTAGGTCTGCAAGGGTACAGTTTCAACCCACCAGCCACTGCAGGAGAAGATGGGACTCTGCTCCCGTGAGAGTTACAGCCCCAGACACGCACAGGGGCGGTCTCCCTGGCCTAGAGTCGCTGTGAGTCGGCATGGACTCCAGCAGTGAGTGAGTGAGTGTGTGTGTGTGTGTGTGTGTGTGTGTGTGTGTGTGT